TGAGGGCGGTTGCATAATGAACGCTGCCAACATGGAAGCTATCATTCTGGCTGCGTTAGCCCAACAAGAACAAAGACGTAGGGCCAAGTTTCAAGCACAGATTACCGCAGCTAATCAACAGCTATAAAGAGCTGCGTGTAGAAACGACGCAAATTGACGTGCGACATACCCTTACGTATAGTCAAGTCAGTTCCTGACTTTAACGGAGTACAAGATGAGTATGTAGCATGGCGGCAGTCAGCCACCGACGCCTAAGAGCTATTCCAACCATATCAGGGCAGTACTGCGTACTACCAGTCAGTGACAATTATAAGGATTAAGATCAGGGGACCAGCAAGGGCCCTGCTAGTATCGCACAATACCGTCCATAATCTTGACGCAATTTTGGCTAGGTTAGACTGCTCTTATGCAGATAAGACTTCGTTGCGGCTGTAACGTCAGTCCGTCAAGGGAATAGAAGCCTAATGGAATATTACGACGAGCTCGAGCGAAAGCTGACGCTCGTCACAAATAAGATTGTCATGACACGACACGGAGAGAGCCACGCTCCTCAACACAGAGGTTAGGGGTGACGCTCCACATGTATTTGTGTCGTGTCTTAAAAAAAAATTTGAGGTGGTATTCCGGCGCAACCCAGAGACCTGCCAGCAGCACTAGCATTAGCTAGAGAGGCAGAGGCAAGTATCGAGCGGAGCATGTGAGCGGCCACGTATGCAAAGGCAAAGTACAGATTCCCATAAGGGCCAGCGCTGCGCGTCTGATAAACAAGGGAAAAGTTTCGGTGCTGATCGCGGCCCAAAAAAAATAAACACTTTTTTTTAGGAAGTCAGGCAGGAATCAAAGTGACGATTCGTGGCGTAGGTAGGGAGATTGGGTAGATCAAGGGTACCTCCAGATATATCTGGTCAAAAAAGACCGCGAGAAGACAGCTTTCTCCGTGAACGGAGGGAAGTACGCCTGTCTTTTGGACTAAAAAAATAAGGAAGCATTTTCCAGATGGCAACTGACGACGTTCTCCGCGACCAGATCGGGAGAACTTGTTACGTCTATGTGGATGACGTGATAATTTTCTCCGAAAATGATGCCGATTACGTAAATCACATTGACACAGTTCTAAAATGCCTGGGTGAGGCCAACATGAAAAAGAAGATATTCTTTAGGAAGGAGGTGAGGGCCATTCAGGAGTACAATGAGCCACAAAATGTGTTCAGCCTCAGATCTTTTCTAGGGTTGGCCAGCTACTATAGAAGTTTTTTCAGAGACTTCGCGTCCATAGCTAGACCAGTTATCTCCATACTAAAGGGAGAGAATGGCACGGTTAGCAAACACATGTCAAACGAGGTCTATTGAGTTAGATGAGTCCGAACGCAGAGCGTTTGAGCGCCTGCGGAATAGTTTGTCATCGCAGGGCGTTATCCTGTCGTATCCGGATTTTAAACTTCATTTCAACTTGACCACCGATGCTTCTGCAAGCGACATCGGTGCGGTCCTATCCCAAAATGGCAGGCCGATCACGAGGATATAGCTTGCACGTTAAAAGGGCTTAACTACGGCAACGAACGAAAAGCTGTTAGCGATTGTGTAGGCCATAGATTTTACGGACCATCAACCGCTCACTCACAGATTAAGCGGTGGGAAGCGTTCATTGAAGAGCACAACGCGAATGTGTTCTACAAGCCTGGAAAGGGAAATTTTGTAGCCGACGCTTTGTACCGACAAAATATAAACGCCTTGCAAAACGAAACATTCCGATGTAGACACTGCATACAGAGTGCTCTCGCTGACCTACACGGTCAAGTCCTCTGATAAACCTTTGAACTGCTACAGGAATCAAATAATCCTGGAGGAAGCAAGCCAGCCCTTCGCGGTGATATTTTTTTAGTGTTCGGGAGCAAAACCCGACGCATAATACACTTCGATAACGAGGACTGGATTGGTTAGGGAAGTTGTTAATGTAAATGTCGCGAACGCCATACATTCGGTCACCAATTTGGCCTGCATTCAGCTAATGACTATCAATAATTGGCAGTGGTGTACAGTCTCGGAAGGGCGCAAAAGGCCAGTCTAGACAGGTGCAATCCGACTAGAAGGAACCGAATTTTCGAGGTAGGAGAAAAGGTATACCTTAAAAGCAAGAAGAGGTTTAGGAATAAACTAACCGCACGGTACTCGGAGGATCGCGTAACAGCAGATATGGGTACGTCTGTTCTTACTAGGTGGAGGCTGGTACATAAGGACAATCTTAGGTAGGAATTCTGCCGATTTGTCTCCTTTGTCCAAAACCAAGTTTTCCTTGATATCTTGTCCGCGTTTAGAGCGCACGCGGAGTTGCCAGGGGCCTCGTTCTATTAGGCACGACTGAGAGAAGAATAGTAGGCGGATACGAAGCATAAGCAGAGGCACTGAAGCCAATTAGGAATTTGAGGATAAGGTTAATGAAGTAAGAAAGGCAAAATATAACTAGCTGGTTGATCCTTCACGTTCAGGAGCCCGCGGTACCTGTGCCCGGGAGGTGCAGAGATATGTGAAAAGTAAGCCAGTGTCTGGCTGCCAGCCATTTAGTCCTATCGCAGTGGACGGGACTCTGGAAATCAACGAGTTGCAGCACAAGTTGGCTCTGACCATGTCACCGAGGTAAAAACCCAAATTCACGTATTTGCTCGTAGCCTGTAGCACTGCTGACTATCATTGCACATAATCCCGCGGTAGACTTGGCATCATCATGGCATCATGACATAAGCAGATAAATCGGTGTCACAGGCCGCATGGCCGAAGCTTGGCGTGGATGCGCTGCTGGCTCGGAGACAATGTTTAGTTTACTTTGGCTCTTAGTTTTAGTCTTCTTTTGTATCCCGATAAAGAGTCCCGATGATTATCGTCTTCAGCTCCTAAATTAATTTTAGAAAAAGTACCTGTGATTTCGATTTACTGATTAGGGTAGCGGATTTGCACGCATTAAAATTTTTGTGCGAATCGAACTTAATCAGATGTCCCGCGAACTTAATCAGATTTCGTCGTGCTCGGCCACGTTGGGCTCCAGTTAATATCCAAATTTAAAACATAGAATTGTTAAAAGTTCAAATCGGGACTGACCTATTCTACTATCAACTTATCAGCTTAACATCGGTGATGACTGTGCTTGTTAGAAATTGAAAAATCTGATCAGATGCTCGTATTTATGCTTTTGACCTGTATGTTATTGAACTTCGAGCTGGCTCAGTATCAATAGCGAAGTCGATTAACCATGTTCGTCCGTCCGTCTGTCCTTATGGACGCTGAGATCTCCGATACTATAAGATATATTAGGTTGTCTTGCGGTATTTTCGCTAGTTGGCGCTGACACGCGCTGACACGTGTTTGATTGATTGTCTTTTCTTTTAAGTCGTTCGTGAGTTATAGCGTCGCAATTTTACAGTACTACTACGATAAAGGCAAAAATGCATCTCAAGCCGCCAAAAAAATTTGTGCAGTTTATGGACCCGATACAGTTTCCATTTCCACCGCACAACGATGGTATCAACGCTTTCGTTCTGGTGTAGAGGTGGTCGAAGATGCGGCACGCTCCGGAAGGCCTGTCGTCGAAAATGGCGATAAAATCGCTGAATTGGTCGAAAGAGACCGGCATAGTAGCAGCCGTAGCATCGGTCAAGAGATGGGCATGAGTCATTAAACCGTTATAAGAGATTTGAAGAAGCTAGGAGTCACTAAGAAGCTCAATGTATGGGTGCCACACGAATTGACGCAAAAAAAAACATCTTTGACCGTGTCGACGCATGCGAATCGCTTCTAAATCGCAACAAAATCGACCCGTTTTTGAAGAGTATGGTGACTGGCGATGAAAAGTGGGTCACTTACGATAACGTACAGCGCAAACGGTCGTGGTCGAAAAGCGGCGAAACGGCCCAGACGGTGGGCCGTCTGGCTGCTCCCCTATGGCCAAACGCTCAATTCGGACCTGTACTGCCAACATATGTACCGCTTGAAGACAGAACTCATGCAGAAGAGGCCATCTTCAACAAAGGCCGAATTATCTTCCACCAGGACAACGCCAGGCCACACACATCTTTAGTGACGCGCCAGAAGCTCCGGGAGCTCGGATGGGAGGTTCTTTTGCATCCACCGTATAGTCCTGATCTCGCACCAAGTGTTTACCACCTGTTTCGCGCTTGGTAGTCTGAAGTTGACCACAAGAGAGTCCTGTGAAAATTGGCTCTCCGAGTGCCAATAGTGAAGCGAGAAGTTATGAAGTTGGCATCTCGTTGGGAACGCGTCATAGAACAAAACGGCGCATATTTGACTTGAAACGCATTATTGTAACCAATTTTATGAACAATTTAAAATTCAATCAAAAATACCGCTCGACTTTTTTGACAACCTAATTTTTTTTTTAATGTATATCTATATACAAAGTTGAGATTAAGCAAGAAGACTCTTGAGGTCCTTAGGGGGCGCAAGCTTATTTCAGCCCACCAAGCTCGCATTTTGTAGAAAAGCTGATATCTCGGCAATTATAAGTGATTGAAAGTTCGGATTAAGCAGGGTAGGGTTTTATGATGCCCCAAATGCGAATTGTTTTTGTCCATCTAGGCACGTTCACCCTAACTCCCACAAAACCCGGAAATCCAGAAATGCAAAAAGGTTAGAAACTATTAATGCAAGAAAGTTGTGTTTATGAATTTGTATTTAAGAGATGCCACTTCAACTTGCCACGGAAGTGTTTATTGAATATTCTTTAGAGACTAGCATTAGGTTATCAAATTGTAAGGCTAAACAAATATTTAACTATCTAATTGACGCTTTTAACGTAGGGCTTACACCTTTCGATTCCTGTTTTAACCACAATTTCTTTAAAAATATATTCCACTATGTCGATAGGTATTAATAAACTAATAATTCAAAATGTGAATGTTTTTCTATGCTATAGGCAATGCATGTTGCTTGAATAATGTGTGCTTGACTATAAAAATCTAATAAAAGCTCATTCAATTATTTCTTTGCAGTTCACTTACGCGAAGAAATATATGGAAGGAATTTCGGATAGTGGGTATTCGTTTGGAGGACGGGACAGTAGAGACAGAAAATGCTGTTCCAAGTGTGTTAATAGACAAGGAACAATCTTTTCGAGTGTTCGGTAGCGGATTACAAAACAACACAGCTATAACATTTACCAATGAACAAAATGATTATGGTGGTCCATGTCTAAAACCAGCTACTGACTTGTTTACCCCGATAGAAGTAGCCCCTGATGGATTTTCTGCACTGTACTCAGTAAAGTTTCCCTCATTTATAAATGAATTTTATATTTGTGCCAAAACTGCTGAGGATGCAACATATGTAAGTGCTTTAATCTGACTAACAAATATTTTGAATTTGTGGTTTTGTTTTTTGAAGTTACAAATTTTTCTTATTCCTGTTCATAAAATATTCTTTTCATGAACTGAATGTTATGCAAACTTAAAGGCAATTCCAATCTACATGCCTCTTTCATATATATAGCAACGGCAACATATTAGTCAAAAGCATACAATGGCATAATTCTGAGCTTAAGACTTTCTTAAGAAATGGTCAAATTGATAGTGATTAATTAGAAATTTTTTCAACACCGAACTCGTGGATGTCAGTTCAGCTCGACCAATTGTTTGGAAATCAATAATTTCTTTAAAATAATTACAAAATGTCAATCCACATTGACATGCAAAACATATAATCTCCGTGTAAAAAACAAAATGCCTAAAACTGCATTAAAAGAGAAGTTACTTTGATTGAATTTCATGATCAATTTTGTTTTTCGGGCGCTTTACGTATCTTGTTTCGACTGGTACAGCGTTATTATGGAGGAGTTCGCTTATTGACTTAATTTGAAAAAGGTTTCGACGGTAATCAAAAAGTCTAAATACGTAACCAGATATCCTGTTAGGAGTTGTCTTAATAAAACTAGGGAAATCTATATATAAATATAACTGCTTTAAATAAGATATTGTAGAATTATCCAAACGAAGTTCAGTAGACCATTCGGTTTGATCGTCTTTTGTTGAATGTTCTTTAGATCTCTTAAACTAAGGCTTTGCTATGGCCGAATTAAAATATTAGTACTCCTTTCTATTAATTTCTATACTACTCGATGATCTCATTATGTATACTAAAAAGGCGGTTACGAACTACCAATGTATCGGTTATTAGCTTAACTTATTCCTCTCTGCGAAATAATTTTTTAACTGTCATTCAATTCAACGAATTTTATATACTGTTGCCCAATAATAGAACTCGAAAATCATTTAGAAAAATTAAACTTACAAAAAAGATAAGATAAAGAAAAGATAAAAAGGTCTAAGTCTCGCAGCTGGGCTGCCAACAGCGACAGCGGAGAGACGGTTATATATTTTCTTAAGTACACAGCTATGCTCGCTTAGCCTGGAGCTGGAGCGCGGAGGTATATGCATTTACATAAGGTCCGCTCGTGCTAAGTTAGTAGAAGAAGTATTGGATGTAATGTGGTAGAGGGCATTTTAACTCGAACTTAATACCCTAAATGGTTCATGAAGGACAAAGTTCGAGCTGCAATGCTCCAAAAATAAGGGAATATAGTTCCTAGTGACCCTGGGGGCACATTGATGTTTAAGCGACCTATAAGGGCTTGGCTGTCAATATCTCCGCTAATAAGATTGTTTTTTTTTCGCGACTCCCGTTGCTTGACGTGCAACATTTCCTCCCGCCCAACCGACCAAGAAGCGCTGCCGTACGGCAGCTATCGTACGGCTCGGAATACGGGTATAGTACCGAGTGAAAAATGTTACGAACTAGTAGTTCGAAGTGTGTGCTAAGTGGTTTAGTAAACCAATTTTTAAGTTAGTAGGGGAAGTATTGGATGTAATGTGGTAGGGGGCATTGTAACTCGAACATAATATCATAAATAGTTCATGAAGGGCAAAGTTCGAGCTGCAATGTCCCAAGGATAAGGGAATATAGTTTCTAGTAGGCCTAGCGGGCACATTGATGTTTAAGCGACCTGTTAGGGCTTGGCTATCGGTGTCTCCGCTAATAAGATTGTTAATAAAGACAACGCCAGGCATTGTCCTGCGGTTAGCAAGGGTCGTTAAGTTTATAAGTAATAGTCTACTTTTATAAGAGGGAAGATGTAAGTTTGCATCCCAATTATGGTAACGAAGAGCAAATATGAGAACATTTTTTTGGACAGATTCTGTACGGTCTTGGTGGACCGCGTACTGGGGTTTCCAGACACAAGATCTATACTCTAAGATCGGACGAACGAGAGAGGCAAATAAAGCTTTAGTTACTTAAGGGTCGTTGAATTCTTTCGACCATCTTTTTATAAAACCTAGCACACCTCTGGTTTTGTTAACCATGGAAAATATGTGGTCGGAAAATGTAAGTTTTGCATCCAAGAGGACACCTAAGTCGTCAACTAGCTTTATTCTATCAAGGGTTACACCACAAAGTGTATAAGAGGATATTGAGAGTTTAGAGCGACTGAACGTCATTACTTTACACTTAGAGCCGTTAAGATTTAGTAAATTTGCAGAGCACCAAAATTGAAAGTTGTTGGTCAGCCGCAGGTCGATTAATTTTCTTTTTTTTTATGTCCCGGACGATGTTCTTGAACGAAAATGCGATCCGGTCAGAACTTGGTTGAGCACATTTTGTCAAATACCACAGAGGGGTCGCGTATCTTAAATGATGATACTTTCCTGTTATAATGATTTTTAAATTTAGTTATGTCATCCAACTTGATGTCGGCTTTCGTTCTGGCTTGTATGTAAGCAAATACGTCTGCCTCAGACGTATCATCGGAAAGCCGGGAAAAGAATGTATGTTTTTCTCAGGTTGGATTACCCTTAGGGGCTTGGGTGCAGCAGGTTCTAATCCTGAAAGCCAGTGCATGCCGGTAGTCCGGATACGGAATTCCCCTGCAGTCTATCGGGTGGGTTGATGTTAATGGAAATTGGCTCTACTGGAGCCAGTAAGCTAGAAGCAGACAGACTATCTAACGATTTCATACCATCATATCCGGAAAATTCGGATGCCATAGGCGTTCCAAACAGCTGCGGCGACACTTCAATGTTCTGAAGGTAAGAAGTGGGAGGGAGAAGGGAACTAGTGATCTGCGGCACATATGAATGTGATTTTTTACGCTTTGGAGCGTCAATTAACAATTGGACATTATTAAATTGAATGTCCAGCGCCGTGAGAAAATCGCTGGCGTTACAAAAAGCGCCGAGCACCTCACGAAAACCATTTTTTGTCTGCCGCATAAAAGATCTCATTTCTCTTTGAGTCCCCCGACAACTTTCACAGTGTCCGATACGCTGGCCAACACAATACGCTTGTCTGGTTTGTTGTGATTATTTAATTGAGAGATATTTATTATTTTGAAACACTGTTTAATTGAACAAAGCCCACTGTGCGAGAAAAGGAAAGAAAGCTAAGGCAATATAATAAAAACTAGAAATGTTTAAGATATGCACACAAAAAGAAGATAAAGAGAGCGGAGGGAATATATAATATTAAACATAAGATAAGGTATAGATAAGCACAAGAGAAAAGCCCGCGTGCGATAGACAAGAAATAGGAGAATGTGAAAACAATTTAAGCAATTTGAGAGTTTAAACAAAACACAAACGCTACACAGTTTGATTCACTGCGCGGAAGGCAAACGGATGAAATAAATGTAATTAATATAGGTTTAAGTTAATATTCAGAAATAATCTAGCAGAGATAAACGAGAGTTGAAAAACACGTCCGTTCGCTTCGAAAGAGAAAGTGATGTGTTTTCAATAAAACCTGATATCCTATTTTTAACTCAAAATCTAAAGCATTTTTGTCGTAATTAATTTTTTGGTTTTGCTTATGTGATTCTAATATTAATTTAGCTCTCATAAATTCTGGTTCTAATCTGAATTTTGATTCTATAGCATAGTCTTCTATATTATATAGGGGTTTTATCTTATTTATACTGTTAAAATATTTGGGCAAATTTGAAGTTTTACCAAAAACTAACTCATGTGTCATAGAGGGGGTTGTGTTAAAACAACCCATCCCAATCTGTTTTATCAACTGAGATCTATGATCATATGATCTCTCATTAAATGTTCTGTGGCTACCGTGGCCGTCTGATGATGATGTGCGGTAGAAGTTATGTTTTTGATATTCAAATTTCTGCATAGCTCTTCCATCATTGAATTTTTATATTCTGTTCCCATGTCCGTAATGAACGTTTTTTTGGACGGTACTTCAGAATAAATTCTTCTAATATTGCTTTTGCTACTGTGTTTGCATTTTTGTTTTTTATTGGTATTGCTACCAAGTATTTTGTTAAATCGCAGATTAAGGTTACTATGTATTCATTGCCATTTTCTGATTTTGGTACTGGACCAACAGTGTCCACTATTATTATTTTTTTTTTTGCCATTTAGGACATTTTCTTATGTACTCTTTTATATATATATATATATATTTCCAATAATAGTGTCTCTGGACCTTGTCCAAGGTTTTTATAATGCCTGTATGACCTCTTTGTATGGGATCATTATACCCGTTACTCGTAGAGTAAAAGGGTATACTAACATGTAACAGATAGAAGGAAGCGTTTCCGCCCCTATATATTCTTGATCAGGATCAATAGCGAAGTCGATTGAGCCTCAGCGTAAGTTTATTTCAGCTTTCTGCCACGCCCACTCTAACGCCCACAAATCACGATAAACTAAAATCGCTGAAATCTCGAAAACTATTAGAGCTAGAAAGTTGAAATTCAGTATGTATAAACTTTGGATACGCGCACCAAGCTGAAAAGACGTTTTTCGCATTTTCAAGAAAACCTGATATCTCGGTAACTATAAGTGATAGAAAGTTCGGATTAAGCATGTAAATTTTTATGATGCCCCAAATGCAAATTGTTTTTTTTTCCATCTAGCCACGCCCACCCTAACGCGTACAAAACCCGAAAAACCAAAAATACAAAAATCTCAGGAACTAAAAGAGCTAGAAAGTTAGGCTTAAGAACACGTATTTTAGGGATGCCGCTGCAACTTCCCACGAGTTTTCAACCGGCCACGCCAACTCTAACGCCCACAAACCACGAAACACTGTGGCGTCTATAATAATATTATGAATACCTTCGTTTGACCTTGTATAACTTATTTCTGTTAATATCTATCGATTTTGCTACTTATGAAGAAATTTAGGTTATAATGGTTTGTGACGTCACTAGCAATTACTCAACATGCTTTCTCCGACAATAGGTGGCGCTTCGGTAATTTCCACTAACAAAATAAATATTTTCAAATTGTGTAAAAACAGTAACGGGTATCTTTTAGTCG